CCTTGCCTTGTAGTGACAAGACCTCTAGATCTTTTGATGAAGAATGTCCTCAGCCTGTTTGGCATGGCCCTGCCACCAAGAGGGGACAGGACACACCTTTATAGTCAAAACTGTACATTTTGCTAGACTAACCACAACAATCCTATGCTTATCACTGGTCAAATGGGCTCTGCCATAACCTCTCATATAACTCCGCTATCAAAGTAGTCCACGCTGAACAACCTCAGACAGCGGGATAATGCATATCTGCTTACGGGCCCACTGTATCCCATACACATCCTGGAACATGCTTTGAGCACCCTACGTGTCTAGGTGCAGACCCAGCACAGAAGCATTAACTGAAGTGACCTGATACTGGAAACTGACTCTAAGCATCACACACAGGGTGCTGAAGGCAGCTGGCCTGGCCTTCTCAAGTGTGAGGGAAATGTAGGCTTTGGGCTTCGTACAGGTGTGGCCTTCAGCTGGTTTATTGGTCAGCAGCATCCTGGCCAGGCGTTTCTGTGTCTGCATCAGTGCCATTGGATTTACCTTTCATCAGTGGGAAGCTCACAGAGCTATCCCTGTGATGTGATCGAGCTATCCTGGTCCCACTCCCATTGACGGTCCGCTGAGTGGTCATTCATGGAGGAAATGCTATTGTTTTTAGGCAGCCTAAGCTCTGTGTTTTGGTGAAGGAAGACCATTCGAATTGTACACAGCACTGCTCACTGTCAGGCCCTCTGGGAAAGCATCAGCGGCAGATCCACTCAGAAATGTTGCTTAGGTCATGACATTGTGAAACTGGTTCCTATCCCAAAACAAAGGAGTAAGTAGCCACAGAGGACCCAGCCTCATGCTAAGCATCCCGGGCTCAGAGTACACCAGCCCTGTGTTTGATACAGTTGGATCTAGGCTCTGCATCCTGGTCAATTCCTATCTACCAGAAATATCCTGGGATGGTGTCCTGAGAAGAAAGAACGCTCTCTCTCTCTCTCTCTCTCTCTCTCTCTCTCTCTCTCTCTCTCTCTCCCTCTCCCTCTCCCCTCTCTCCTCTCTTTTTCTATGTCCCTTCCCCCTTCTCTCTCTGCCCACCTCCTTCTATGTATTTGTGTGGGGTGTGTGTGTGTGTGTGTGTGTGTGTGTGTGTGTGTGTGTTTGTTGTAGAATGTAGCTACTGCAGCCGCTGCCGCTGCGTGAACTCTTGGGGTGGAGAAAAGGCATGGCAAGGGCTAAAAGGTGCAGAGCTAAATGCTTGTCCCAGAAGAGGCTTGAAGTTGACCTCTCTCCCTAGCAACATGTTGGCTTCCTAGACCAGACCTAGGCCCTGGCGTCCCTCTGAAAATACCTCGAACATGACACACTTCTAGGTGGGTCCAGGACACCACTGTTAACTGAGAAGGAAATTCCCTGCGGCAGTCATTGGGGGTTAGGAAACTCCACCGGGAGACCCTGCCGTGAATTCTGCTTCTGCTGTTCTGTCAGGTAATCATGGACCTTCTGCTTCCCAGGGACAGGAAACCTACTTCCCAGTCCCTTTGGGATCCAGTGGGGCCAGGCATAGCTTTGATCAACAGACTGTGGGAAGTGTGAGAGCCAGTAAGATATGCATCACTTCTGGGCTATAACATCGCCTACTTGAGGGAAATCCTCCATTGCACCTGCATCCATAGCCTCTAGTGGTGTTGGTAGCCGGTGAGGGAGCCTGCAACCTGGAAGAAGGGGAAGGGACTGGCCATTCTAGCCACAGTGCGTGAGAGTGTTTGCGTGAGAAAGACACTGGTACTTCAGGTCCTTGTGCCTTAATTTGTTACGGTTCCCTGAGTCCTACAAGATGTCAGTGTTAGAAGGAGAAGTGAAGGGACAGAGCAAAGCAGAGATACTGTTTCATGTATCGGTTCTAAAACAGATATGCAAATCATGCTTACCCTTTTCCTCTGGCTCTAAAATCTGTATATTCACGAAGATATTTTACGCTTTTTTTAAACGAAAAGTAGAGAAGATGGATTAGTCTGTTATGCAAACCTGAGAAACTTGAGTTGGATCCCCAGTAACCATATAAAAAAGCTAAGCATGGCTGTGCCTCCTTGTTCAGTTTTATGTAATAACCCCGCCTGACTGTTCAACTGTAGAATAAACACGCTGAACTTCTGGTGCTGTGGCTTCTCCATCAGAGAGAGCTCTCCATAACTCCCCATCCCTGCTTTTCTGTGTTCCTGTGTCTTAGTCACTGCTCTTTTGCTGGGAAGGGACCCCATGGCCAAGGCAACACTTAGGAAAGAAAGCATTTGATTAGGAGCTTGCTTGCAGTTTCGGAGGCTTCGTCCGTGGCAGAGAACATGATGGCACATGTGGTATTGGACCAGTAGCTGAGAGATAACATCCTGGTCCGTAGACAGGAAGAGTTGACACTGCGCCTGGCTTGGGCTTTTGAAACCTCAGAGTCACCAGTGACACACACCTCTTCCAAGGCCACACCTCCTAATCCTACTCCTTCCAAATAGTGCCATTCCCTGGTGACTAAGCATTCAAATATATGACCCTACGGGGACCATACCACATGCCTGTCATTTCTTTCAACTGTCACCCATAGTCAGGCTTCCAGGACCCAAGCTGTGAAAGGACATGGCACTCATGAGCCTCCGAGGACTTTCCATATAAAGTAAATGATTTGCTGAATCTGGTCTCATACACACACCACCTATCAGGCCCCCACTGATTCTGGAGGTGTCATATTCTGTCCCCGGGTGCATTATTCTCATCTGCTTATCAACGGGCTCAACTCCGCTGGTTCTGAGTAAGGCCTTGAACAGAAGGCTGTATCACTGGTCCATCCTGTAAGGCCAGATGCTCTGCTACATGGGTCACACATAGCAGAGGGTCAATGGCGCTTGAAGGTCAGTGAAGATGGGATGCCGTTTGCAGCCTTGGGCATATCTGGCCTTTATAATCCTGGAGCAAGACCTAGCATTTCTTTTCAAATAACTGTTCTCTAAAGAAGTGCATATTGGGAGCTGGCGAGATGGCTCAGCAGTTAAAAGCACCTGATCTTGCGGGGGGACCTGGGTTTGATGCTCGGCACCCACATGGCAGCTTACAACCCTCTCTTCCACCAGTTATAGACACCTGACACTGTCATTTGAACTCGGAGGGCACCAAGCACACATGTGTACATGTGAGCAAAACGCTCTTCTCCTGGAGTTCGCTGAGCCAAAAGCTCACGCCCACCTAGCTTCACACAGCCCAGTGCATCGCCTACCAAAACACCACAGTCTGCCTTTTGAGCTGCTGCAAGTCATTGATGACGCCATCCTGGGTACTGCCAAAGGAGGCGGCATCATGGACGGAGATGTTTTGGTGTCCCCTGGACTTATCTGTGGTACCTAATGGAGAGGACAGTGAACAGAGAGCAGATTGGTAGAAGAATGCTCGCTGTGTGACACCAGTGTGCGGCCAGTAGCCCTGCTGGCTCCTTTAGCTCTGCATTCTTGAGAGGAGCCCTGGTGAGGAGTGACAGTCCCATGAAGGCTGGCATGACAGATGCAGATGCCACTCAGCGCTAGCTGGTGGAAGGCAGCATACCTGTTTTACAAACTCCACAGGGGGATTTGGCACAGAGCTAGAAATGTTCATCGACACAAGTCCAAGATCTCCCCTGGTTTGTCCTCAGCAGCTCACAAGGTGGGTGGATCGCATCTCTGCAAAAACAGTCCTCAGAGCACAGAAGGCTGTGTCCCCATCTCTGTGTACCTACTGAAGACAGCAGCTGATTCTCGGGACAAGAGCAACAATGTGGAAGGGAGCAGATTAAACATGGAGTTGGTTTTCCAACACTCATGGACTTAAAACACAGCATCCCTGTTTTACGGCACAGAGGGGATGCTCTTCTGGTTTTACCAGCAGAGGACCAGTCTCTTGCTACCTAGTCCATGGTGAAAGAGGCAGCTGAGAGTGTCACCCACGGAGAAGGGTTTGGATTGTTGTGGTGGTAGACCTAGGTTCCAGAGGGGGAGGGGTCTGAATAATGGGACCTGAAAATTAGGGTTGGGAAAGTGCTGAAGGGGACTGACTTTCACCTCAAACATGTGACATATAGGGTGTTTAGGAAGCCTGACCAACGCCCTAAAACCCAGAGTTTGAATTCATACAGAAATATCCTAAAGCCAGCTACAGAATACGGGAAAATCAAGACGACTGCTGAAGACACTGTGCAAACAACCTCAGCCAGCCCAGCAGCAAGGCTAGATCATGCCGGAATATCCCTGGATAGTGCATTTGATCATATGCAATCATAAGGCATCCGACCTTTCAATTTTACTTTACTTAAAGCTACAGCTACTAGAAGATTCTTCATTAGTTTTGTGGCTTCAATTTCAGCTGGAGAGCACTGATATATAAAAGTGGAGTCTGATCCTGGCTGCTCGCCGCCTAGCTGCTGGCCACCAGGACCAGCTCATCGACGCAAATCTTTCATAAAAGAAGACAGCTGAAAATGTCATCCTTACCCACTAGCAGGTTGGCATCCTCCCTTTATCCCCCAGCTTTCTTTTTTTCAAGAAACAAGTCCTTCCCATATGGCTGAACAGGTTGCAAACTGTACACGGACGACATGTCCAAGGGACAGGGTGCTGCTCATACCACAGATTTGTTTAGCTTTCACTGTCTTAGCCTGGCACATGGCAGGAAGAGCCTTGTTCTGACAAGATGGGTGTATTACAATGAGCTTCTAATAGGAGGGACTGCAGTGTATGGATGAGGGAGATGCCACTTTCTGATTCACACAAAAACTGTCGCGGGATTGTTGGCCCTGGCAGAACCTTGAGGCTTGCCTGCGTCTGCTCTAATGAACTGCCTTCTTGGGTTGGCTTTTATCCCTGCCAGAGGCCCAGCGTATACAATAGAAGGGCTTCGGTGAACATCCTGAAGCCTCAATCGTCCAAAGCATCACTGGTAACTGTGTGAGAGGAACCCAGTAACCAGCCAGCTCCGGGCTCAGGGTTGGCCCAGGATGGCCCACTTACCTTCTCATTTTTCTTGTCGTCTGGCTTGTACCCTGTGTTGACGGGGCTGGGTATGGACAGGCCAGCGATGGGCGTCCCTCCAACCTCCCCGCCGAGGTTGGCAGCACTGACGTTGGGAGGTGTGATGGCCGATGCTGCTGATGTAAAAGGAATGGCTGGCCAGGAACACATCTGCGTGGGGGGCTGCTGGCTGTGCTGCGGGGACACCACGGAGCGGGGGCGGAGGCTGGTGGCGGGCAGGCGGGATGGAGAAGTCTGAGTGCGCAGGGGCGACACGGTGGCAGTCGGTCGATCCAAGGCCTGGGCTGAAGGATGGGTAGCTGGAGAGACGTAGAATTGAAAGGTTAGTGTGCACTTGGCTATGTGATTGCAGGGCGCTTGCCTCTCAGGCTGACCTTTGACCTCTGAGGGTTCTGAATGCTCCAGATTTGCCTACCATTGCCAGAGGAGAAACTGAGGCCAAACAACCCTGAAATTACACTCTTTACTCTGGTTCAGGATAGTCTTTATCCCAAGTGCCCACGACATGCCAGGCCATATTAATCTAGTATTTTCTTATGATTTTATCATACTTTTTATATAATTTTTAAAAAAGTTTTTCAAGACAGGGTTTCTAAACTGTAGTTTTGGAGCCTGTCCTGGAACTAGCTCTTGTAGACCAGGCTGGCCTTGAACTCACAGAGATCCGCCTGCCTCTGCCTCCCAAGCACTGGCATGAAAGGTGTGTGCCGCCATCGCCTGACATGGTACTTAATTTTTACTAACAAAATTTGTACTATTCCAGGCTTCAGAAATATGAGACAAATATACAATGCAAACAATATCCTTAGGTTCTAAATATGCCATGAGTATAAAATACACTTGGCAATCTTAACAGTGTCTGCGGTGGGAGGCTTCTCCCATACCACACTCTAGTCCAGACCTTTGGCTATAAGCTGGTCCTTCCTGATGTCTGCCATGGTGTCTTAAGGCTATAGGTGATCATGAATATACAAGGCAATATAGAAAAAGGCTTGAGGTACTGGTTTCTTTAAAGCGATTATTTGAGGTTTCAGAGGGGTTGGAACCTAGCATTTGGATATCTCGGACAATGTGCCTCACATCTTGAGGGAAAGGCCCAGTATTTATATAAGTCAATGAAGGCACTGGGGTCGTTCATCACCCTGCGACTCTTGGTGAAGACCGTGGGCTCTTATGCCCTACTGCCCGAACCCTCCTTTACTCCAACCTTTCAGTCTTTGAGAAGAAGTGACAGCAGCCAACTAAAGCTATTGCCCTGGGACCCCAGAAACTCGTCTTTAGTGCTGCTCAGGGCATCCTATGCAGCCTTCTGTCTGCCTTCTAGAAAGACACAGGCAGTCAATGGAGACGCGTGGTGTGACCACCATCTGAAGTTTTGAATTGTCTCCTCCTATAGGTCCTGAGCACCACTTAATAGTCTATATAGCTCATTCATTTGTCACATATTAATTGTTCCTTGTCTCCCACTGCCCTGTCAGCTCAGCTTTAGGGAGCTGAAGACCAGGGCTGTTCAGTTTGCTAATATAATGCATTCCGCATCCGTGGAATGGCGCCAGGCATGTAGAAGATACTTAATACAGTTTTTAATGAATGAGTGATTACTTGAGAAGAGAGAGCTCCCTGTTGAAGCATCACTAATCATTTCACAGAAATTAATCATGAGAGAAGGAAAAAATGTCCAACGACACAGGCATGGCTCACTGCGCAGGCTGCCTAGATTCTGACTCACCAGTGATCCTGTTAGCTAGCAATGCCAAAGCATCTACATTGTCTTTGAAGTTGCAAGCCAGCAGAAGAAGCTGGTAGAGAACACATGCTCTGGTCTTTGGTCTATGGTTTGCACTTTGATGATGCCATGGTCTCACTAACACTGGTCCTCCCCACTCAGCTCCCTGATCTGTCCCTGGTTCCTGGAATCACCCTGGAACTCATCCAGGCCTGGGATATTCTCTGTGACTGTGCTTTTGATGCTTCTATCTCGAAAGCCCCATCATGAGCAACCCCATTCCACCTCTAGCTGAGGCTGCTCTTTCAACCTGTCCATCTCTGTCCTCTTATCTTGGCATTTTCCTTTGTAGAAAGCCAGTGTGAAATACATACACCCCACAGTTTGTGCTACCCAAAAGTTTTCTTTTCTCAAATTTAAAACGGGATGCCTTTCTTCATTTCTCTCCCCCACAGGTCCTGCTTTTTCTTCCCCTTCTTTGGTGGATTTTATTCCTTGCTTTGGAAGACCCTCCCCTGGCCCCTTCCTGACTCTCTCTGTCTGATTTCTTCATTTCTTGGTTACCTTTTATGAGCTAGTTTCCCTCCTCATCCCATCTGTTGTCTTGGGATCCCATGCCCTCCCTGGGTCTTCCAGCTAGTTCTGTGGCTCTTCTTTGTGGAGCAGTTTCTTCTGAATTGAAATCTTCTGTCCTTGAGGGATGCAGGGAAGCTTGCTTTTGTATTATTTTATTTACTCAAGAATTAACAAGACCTCCAAGTCTCAGGGAACTGAAGTTTAAAAGGCTCACAAGGCCCAGCCCGTAGGTGACATGTTCAGAGTAGGGCAGGGAGGGTGGAAGACTCTTAGGTGGACTGTGCAGCCAGCTGCAAGTATTCGGAACTCCTGAGTACTCCACTCATCATGCTCAGAGGGGCCTTTTGTGATGTGACTGCTATGGGGTCACTAATGTTCCTGTAAGTAACCCCTCACCTATGCTATGTTAAAGTATGTCCAGTAAGTCAAGTTGTTCACCAAGTTAAACTTTGGACTGCTAGTCTGCCATTGGTGTTTGGAATTTAGGGTTGGAGAGAAGCGGCAGGGAGTTCACGGGAAGGCACTGAATCCAACTGTCCTCTAGTCAGGTCACTGATTCTGCAGGACGCGGGGCACTGTGGCACCTGCCTTTGATGCCAGCAGTTGGGAGGCCATGGCAGCCTGAGCTCTGTGAGCCAGAGACCAGCGTGGTCTACGTACTGAGTTCCAGGCCTACCAGGGCTACACAGTGAGACTGTGCCTCAACGAAACATCCCCAGCAAACCAACAAACACTGCAGGAAGAAGGCGGAATAGTATGCGTGGGTCTGGAATAGCTTATGATCCACCCAGGGAAAGCACCCACCGCCTGCTCTTTTACAGTCCGTTATGAGAGTGGGGAGGGACAGAGTGTGGTGGCCAGAGAGAATGGGCTGGTCCAAGGTCAGCTGACATCATCTTAGAGGCTAACCAAGAAACAGCCAAATCTGTGCATGATCAATCCAGATGCTCTCGTCCCTTAAATCTTTTGATCCATTACTAGTTGGGTCAACCGCTATGGTAGGTGGGCCATATATAGAAATACAACTTTTTCTCTTTTTGTATACTGAGTTTGTACCTCGCAATGCTGAATTCATTTTTAAGTTGTAGGTGTGTGTGTGTGTGTGTGTGCGCGCGCGCACGTACACGCGTGTGTGTGTTCCTTACGGCTTTCCATGTCTAAGATCCATATGTCTACAACTAGGAAGTTTCATTCCTTTCCTCCCCATCTGTGTATCTTTCCACTTCGCCCCACCAGGAACTTCTAGTGCAGAACTGAACAGAAGCGATGGGTCATCTTCCTGGTATAGGGAAAGCCTTGGGTCTCTCACCACCAAGAGTGAGAGCATCTGTGTGTTCTCCCAGAGGGTATCATAATGCAAAAGCTCACTGCCATTCCTCATCTTCTAGAGTTCCTTAAATAAGGAGTAGACATTGTGTTCTTGGAGACACTCTTTTTGTTTTTAAGACAGTCACATTGTTTTGACCATTACCAACATGAAGCACCTAAGTTGTTTAATGTTAACACAGCCTTGCACTCCTGGATAACCCCACTTGGAGTTCCACCCTTCTCATTTGTTGCCCAACTAAATATGATCTGTGATTTTATTGTCTTACAGTTTTTTAAAATTAAAGTAATGTGGGCTTTATGGAAAAGGACAGGAAGTATTTCCCTCACCCCTCTCTTTATTTTTTTTTCCAAATTTCTAGGCAAGTCCAGAAAGTTGTTTCATTACTGCCCCATTGTTGTACATTTAAATTTAAATGTTATAATTTCTCCTTTGTTTTGTATAGTTTACCAGTGAAAGTCACATCTCCGCAGGACTTCCTTTGTGGGTATTTTAAAACTAGAGACTCAGTTTCTTTTATAGATACAGGCCTATTCGAGCTCTTTCTTGTCGACTGTGTCTGATGATAAATGTCTTTAAGGTCTATTGAGTATGTCTATTTCATCTACTGCGTGAACTCACTCACATGAAGACTTTACTATAAGATTTATTATCTGGCAGACTCTAAAATGATGCCACCCTTTGTTATTTCCGGAGATGTTGACTTTCAGATTTTCCCCTTTTTACTTAGATCAGGTGGCTGGAGGTTTATTAATTTGATTATTGACCTTTTCAAAGGACCCCCTTTTAGCTTAGTCAATTTCACTACCCTTTCCCTGTCTTGCTCTGCCGAGTTCTTTCCACCCCATTGCCGCCCATCACTCCATTTAGTCTACTGCCTATTAACTTGATAGGCTTCTTTCAGATAGTCCACGCTGGAAACAAAGAAAAAAAGAAAAAAAAAGATTGCATTGGCTGTATCCTATAAATTTTGATATGTTGTGTTTCTATTTATTCATCTCAAAAACATGTTCTACTTTTTATTTCTTCCTTGATCCACTGATTATTTTGAGGTATGTTATTATGTTTTCAAACAATTATTTGTGATACTGACTTCCAATTCAACTCCACGGTCGCCGGGGATGTAATCTGTGTAACCGAGTCCCTTTACACATGCTGAGATTTTACAGATCAAGGCCCAGCTATGGGTTAACATGGGAGTGGTATGTATGTGTGCACTTGAAAATAATGTGTATTTTGATGATGATGGGTAGAATAGTCCCTAAATGCTAATTAAATTAAGTGGTTGGAGCTATACTGGTGATCTATACTATTATCAATAGTTGATACAATTCTGAGAGAGACTGCAATTTTACTTTTGTGGATTTCCCTGTTCTGTCAGCAGCTTTATCTGTGGTTGCTTGTGTAGCTTTGGAGCTTTGTAATTTGGTGCATTAATACTTAGAACTGTTATGCCATCTTAATGAGCTCAGTCTTTGCCATCATGTCATCGTTATTATCCCTAGTGATTCGTGACTATAAATTCTCCTGTCTGACATTAGTAGATCAATTTTCTTTTGATTAATATTAGCATGGCACATTCCATCCTCATTACTGACAGGATCTATATTTGCATATTGTTTCACGAGCTATAATTAACTTATAACTTCCAAATCAATGCCTTTGGTCCT